AGCTGAAATGACAATAGGAACATTATTTCCTATCAGTTGCAGGGTTGAGAGGGCACAGGGTCCTTTAAAGCTACATTGTACACCTCTAACTTGTACTTTTCAAACTGTCCAATTGGAAATAAGGGGCAAATGAAATGGCAAAGAATTTAATCTGCCAACTTGAACATAGAAATGACAATGTAGGAGCAAATTACTGCAGATGCTGGGATCTGTACTGAAAACAACAAATGCTGGAGATCATAGTGGGTCAGACAGCATTCATGGTGAGAGAGAAAGCTAACATTTAGAGTCTAGATGAGTCACAAAGCAATCATCACTTAAATTGGAAAATATTATTTGAGGTCTGTAGTAACCAGCATTTGAAGTAGCCAGTATCTCCATAGTGTTTCAACAGCCAGCGCTCTATCAATCTGTGTTGTCTGGGATCTGTTATAGTTCTCAATCCATGCTGGCCCAAGACTGTAGCAGCCATTAAGAGCATTATTAAAGCACTGAACTGAGAAGGCACTGTCAATGCATGGTACAGGAAAGGGAGCCTCTGCATCTAAGGCTGATTCAGGTATTCAGGCCATCACTTCAATAGGTTGCATTGTGCAACTTGTGAAATACCTGGAGAACTGAAATACAATAGGAATCTTTAAGTTGCCTTGTAATATTGTACTAAAATACTCTATAATTTGTTATTGCTCTTAAGCCAAAGCAGCTGAACATCAATGACGGAACATCAACAAAATCTGCAAACTCTCTTCCTAACAGCACAGCAGGTGTCCCTACACACGTTATTATTTTTTAATTCATACCTGGGATGTGGGCATTACTAACCGGGCCAGCATTTATTACCCATCGCTAATTGCCTCTTAATCTGAGTGGCTTGCTGAGCAGTTAAGAGTCAATCACCATGCTGTGGGTTTGGAATCACGTGTAGTCAGACCGAATTTAGATGGCAGATCTCCTGCCCTAAAGGACATGATTTAATCGGGTGGATTTTTACAACAATTGGCCTGCTTCCATAGGCACCATTCAGCTCACTCAATTCCAGATTTTTCCTGAGTTCAAATTTCACCATCTGACATAGTGAGATTCAAATCCATGAGGCTAGAGCATTAACCTGGGCCTGTGGATTACTACAATTCTCATTATTGAGATGCCACTGCCTCTCCCTGAGTAGTTCAAGGAGGCAGCTCACCACTACCTTCTCCAGGGCAACTGTAGATGACCAATGACCTAGCCAGTGATGCCTCCATCTATGAATAAAAAGTAAAAGTATCCTGCAGTGATGCTAGCATAAACTTGACAATTAAAAGTAAGAGGGTTAGCTTTAAAAAACATACAGGAGCTTAGTGTTAGGGCACAGTACGGGAAAATTTAATCCACAACAAAGAACAATGCCTAATATGTTGTTTGATGATTATCAATCAGGATATTACTTTGTTTCTAGGTGATAGCACTGCTGGAGGTGAGGAAGGAAAAAGATCATTTTGAAGTTAAGTGGATTAAGTTTTAGATGCCTTCAACCTGCACCTCTCATCCTCGGTAAACTTGAGCTCAGTCAAAAACTGTGCTGATGTGTCCCAGCCTGCAGCTATCACTCCTGAGCTTGCTAATGTATGTTGGCTCCTAGGCCAATGAGGACTTGATTTTAATTTAGCTTTCAAATCCCTCCATGGATTCATCCCCTCCCTATTTTCTGCAAAATATTGAGATCAATTAATTCTGTCCTCTCTTATACACCCAGAGTCTCACTTATTTAACTATTGGCAACTGTGCTTTCAGCTGTCCAGGAGCTAAACTTCAGAAGTCCTGAAATTTCTCAGAACCTTTACCACTCTTTCTCCTTCCTTAGAGCTCATAATGTGTTTATATTTATGTTGTTCAGTATAAATGATGATATTACATATAAAATGCTTCAGATGATTTGCTACTTTTAGGCCTCATATCAATGCATGTGGTTGTTGTTGCTGAACACTCTTCCACAATGCAATGTCCCTTTAAGACATAATTACACTCATTCCAAGGCTCATTGCATTTGCTCCTTTAAAGAGTTGCCTTGCAAAAATAATCGAGATAATATTTTGTGTTCGGTTAGAGAAGGGTCACTGTACGCATGGTTGCAAAAGTAACTTTAAATGCGTGAATTGAAATAGTGTGGCCTTAAGGTTTATCGAAGCTTCAATTCACTGTCAGTAACTGGCCATTATTTATCGAATTTTCTTCTATCTGTCACTATAACCACACAGAATGTTGCATTTTACAACTCAGGATCCTTGCATCAAAGAGCACATCATAAGAAAGAGAGACAGCAATAATCATAGAAGGAAACTTTCAGTTGACAGGGAATATTTAGTGAGGTAAGAAGCGTTGCTTTCTGACAGAAGATATGAGGTACTGATGGTCTCTGATGTGAGCACAAGCAATTTCTACTCGATAAACACAGCACTTTAAAGAACGGTGCCATATTGCTGCTATTATACCTTGATGTTCTCAGCTCTCCTTATCAATAGCTCGCACCTTCATAATGCCTTTAATGAGGTGAAGATAGGTTCTTCATTGGAGGAAAGTCAGACTACATTTGGGTCAATGATATAGGTTTTAGGAAGTGGCTTAAAGGACAATAGATAGAGAGGTACAGAGGTTCAGGGAGGGAATTTGGGAGCTAAGAATCTGGGCAGCTGAAAGCATGTTTATTTTCTATCCATCTGTTTGAGAGTTTTGGGAATTTTTCTCAGAGAGTTAGAGTTTGAACAAGTTTTACATCGGAGTTTTACATCATTGTTGTACATAATTGTTTATCTGTAGCTAAAATCTTTTGATCGTTATATTAAACTTTAATTTCTGTTAAGTACAGAAAGCTGGCAGTGCTGTCAACCTGGGCCTAAAAGACAGGTAACCTGGAGAATTTTACCTATTATTATAAAAAATAGTAGGGCTTGATTTCCAGCATGCTACTCAGTGAGAACTAACAGGTGTCATCTGAAATCCTTGAGTGTGCCACAGCCTCATTTCACACTTCCAGTCAACTTTAATTTAATGCTTCGCGCGTGGTCTATTCCCCAGCAATACTCTGGTAAGGAAGTCTTGCGATTGTCCACCTTCCATACACCCTCATAGGGTTGCATGCACATTCATTGCCAACTCGCTCACCTCAAAGGCTGCACAGAATAGTGCCGTGCAACTAAATCTTACTTGACATCAATCACGATTGCTCAGGCTTCAGAACAACTGCAGGTTAGAGGCTGTGGATCAAGGTGGAAGGTTAAAACGAAAAGAGGAGCGGTGGAATCGGGCTCCACCAGAGGAGAAATGAATCATTTCAGAAGTTTAAAGGGAAAACAATGGTTCGCACAAATGTGTGTGTCTGTGCACTAGTGAGGGTGAAGTCTGGATTAGTCTCCACAATTCACAATGCACATATAGAACTATGTTAGGAAAAGCAGGGACAAGAAGACCGGAGCATTTGATATGAATTAGGCATAAGGGGAATAGAGAAAAATTATTGATGGTGCAGAAGCAATTGTGTAAACAATGAGGTCGTGATGTTGATTTGACTTGATGCCCTATCATAGCACAGAGCAGCTCCACCCAAAGTTTAGCTCCTGAGCTTTTCCACCTGGTAGTAATGCAGCATATTATTTACAGTCACATTTATGATGAAGTGGCTTGTTGGGATTGAGATTTGGAGGTCTGTAGGTTTGGAAAGGACTGGTTGTCAGTGATGGATAAATTCTAAAATTGGTAACCCTAAATAGGTGCAAATTGACAAATGAATAATTTAAGCTTTAGCAGAGGTCCTGACAGTTCATAAAATATGCCGTATGTCCTGCAGAAACACTCAAATACCCAAGCACAGACCAATCACCACCATTTTCTACAACCATATATTTTTACAGTTATGCATTTTTCTGGTCGACAGCAGAAGTAAGAGAAAAAAAAGCTGACCTTTCTCTTTGAACAGGGCACTTCAATTCAGCGATCACTTGCCAAGTCCAAACATACAAAGCAAGCTCCTAAATTACTAATGATTTAGGATTATTCAAGGCAGTTTTCTATTAAGAATTGGCTGAAGCGAGTCTCACTTGTGCTTCCTAAATACCTAATACGTACTTAAAAGAATAATAAGACCATAAGAGATAGGAATATGACGGGGACATTTGCCCCTTCAGCCTGCTTCACAGTTCAGTAGAATCATAGCTTATCCAACGCTCCTCATGTCCACTTTCCTGCCCTTTCCCCAGAACCCTTGATTTCCCCGACTGATCAAGAATCTGTCTACCTCAGCCTTCAATATACACAAGGTCTCTGCCTCCACAGATCTCTGTGGCAAGGAGTTCCAAAGACTCACAACCCTCTGAGAGAAGAAATTCAACCTCATCTCATTATTAAATTGGTGCCCCTTTATTCTGAGACTATGTCCTCTGGTCCTAGACTGTCCTGATGGGAAACATCCTCTCAGTCAAGCCCCTTAAGAATCCTATATGTTTCAATGAGATCACCTCTCATTCTTCTAAACTCCAGTGAATAGAGGCCCAACCTATTTAGCCTTTGTTCTTAAGACAATCCTTCTATACCAGGGATCATCATTTACACTCATTGTACACTCAATTAATCACACTGTGCCCCTGTTACAATTTACTGATGTGTCATTAGAACAGAAAATTCTAATGAGGTTTCTGGGGAAAGGCAGCTAAATATTGTCAAATTGGGACCAATGTTGGCCAAAGAAGATGGTTGTTCTCCTTAGAACTGACAAGGTGAGGGAAGATTTAATAGAGGTTTCTGAACCATGGTGGGTTTATATCAAGTAAGTACGGCGAAACTGTTTCCACTGGCAACACAGCCACTCACTAAATGTCACAGAATGGCAACAGAACTAGGAGAGGAACTCGGTGGCCTCACTACTGTGGTGTGGGCAGGTTCGATGAATCAATTCATCTCCACCTGTCCATCAGTCTTGTAGTGAGAAATTAAAGCAAGGCTTTCTTTTTAAAGTTCACAATCAGTACCTGCAATGTAGAAATGACCTCATCTCCAATCTCTTTGGTGGATACAACGTAACGGAACATACGTTCTGGGTCGATGATGGTGTCTTCTTTCTCCCAGCGGACAATGATGGGCTTCTCTCCATGTGCAGTGCAGCTGACCTCTTTCTTCTGTCCCTGAGTTGCCAGAGTGGTGTTTGGGTATGATGTAATCATGGCAGGAACTGAAAATAAAACAGCAATATGTGGTCAACCTGAGTCTCATGAAGGCCTGACTTAGCTCTGCAGTGCCTTTGAGGGATGCAAAAATTGAGCCATGATGATTAGGAATTCATATGTTAACTGTCATAACATCAATCATTATTCACATTGTTTCCAAATATCAATTACACCAAATACTTTCAAATTATTAATCTGCAGTCTGTCAGGAAATGTGCCTGCCTCTATCAATCACATGTTCTGCATTTCCCATGGCTAGCCCACCTAACCCACACATCCCTGGACACTGTGGGTAAGTTAGTGTGGCCAATCCACCTAACCTGCACATCTTTGGACTGTAAAATATGGAGCACCCAGAGGAAACCCATGCAAACACGGGGAGAATGTGCAAACTCCACACAATTGCCTGAGACTGGAATTGAGCTCGGATCCCTGGCGCTGTGAAGCAGCAGTGCTAACCACTGAGCCACCATGCCACGCTTGGGTGGTTCAGTGGTTAGCACTGCTGCCTCACAACACCAGGGATCTGAGCTCAATTCCAGCTTTGGTTAACTATCTGTATGGAATTTGCGCATTCTCCCCATGGCTGCATGGATATTCCTCTAGATGCTCCGGTTCCCGTCCGCAGTCCAAATATGTACAGGTTAGGTGGATTGGCCACACTAACTTACCCATAGTGTCCAGGGATGTGTAGGTTAGGTGGATTGGCCATGGGAAATGCAGGGTTACAGAGATTGGGAGGAGGAGGGGGAGGGGTTGCTCTTCGGAGTGTTGATGTGGACTTGATGGGTCGAATGGCCTGCTTCCAAACTGTAGTGATTCTATGATCCATGTTGCCTGGATAATATTTAGGCATAGCCCATAAGTGGCAAATAAAAACCATGTCACTCGAGTGCCAGGCAATGACCATTTCTGACAAGACAGAATCTGATCATCCCACCTTGATATGCAATGGCATTACTATCACTGGATCTCCCACATTCAACTCCCTGGGGGTTATGATTGACCAGAAACTCAACTGAACTTGCCACATACATACAGTGGTTACAAGAGTAGGTCAGACACTACAAATACCGCAGCGAGTAACTCACCTCCTGACACCCCAAAGCCTGTCCATCATCTACTAGGCACAAGTCAGGAGTGCAATGGAATACTCTCAGTTTGCCTGGATGGGTGCAGCTCCAACAATACTCAAGAATTTTGACACCATCAAAGTAGCCTGTTTGATTGGCACCACACTCACAAACATTCAGTTACCTCCTTCCACCAACGTCAGTAGCAGCAGCCTGTACTATCTACAAGACACACTGTAGAAATTCACCAAAGATCCTCAGGCAGCACCTTCCAGGCCCATGACCATTTGCATCAGATAGGTCAAGGGCAACAAATACATGAGAACACCACCACCTGCAAGTTCCCTTCCACGCCACTCACCATCCTGACTTGGAAATATATTGCCATTCCTTTGCTGTCGCACAGTTAAAATCCTGGAATTCCCTACCTAAAGGCTTAGTGGGTCAACCTACAGCACATAGATTGCAGCAGTTCCAGAAGGCAGTTCACCACCCCCTTCTCAAGGGCAATTATGAATGGACAATAAATGTTGGTCCAGGCAACGATGTCCATGTCTCATGAGCGATAAAAGAAACACAGAAGATCATGTGAGAATTTTACAAATCACTGGTTAGTGCATTGTGAACAGTTGTGGGCACCACACTTCAGGAAGACACAGAGGTCTTAGAAAGGATATAGAGGAGACTTATCAGTTGCTGAATGTGAGAGATTTCAATTCTGAGAAGAGATTGAAAATGTAGGACAGTTCTCCTTAAAGTAAAACAAGCTAAGAGATCACATAATGGAGGTCTTTATGATGATGATGATGATGATGATGATGATGGTTTTGATAGAAGGGATAAGTAAGACATATTCACTGGAATTTGGATCATGGATTTAATATAATTGACAAAAGATCTGGAATGGAGATGAGGGGAATCATTTACAGTCATAAAATTGTCAGAATCTGGAATATTCGACCTGAAAAGGTGGTGGAAAGTGCTTCTATAAATCATTTTACAAGTGATTTGAACTCTGGGATGGTACGACGGCTCTTCCAACCAGCACAGGCATGATGGGCTGAATGGCCTCCTTCTGTGCTTTAAGTTTCGGTCAGTCTAAGATCTATACGAATACAATAATACTTTGAAAGCAAATTATTGGGATTTGGCAGGTAGTCAAATTCTGATAATGCAGCTCATATTTCCTTAGCTGGAAGTGCAGCGAACCTTGCTGTGTCAATCAAAGAGCTATGGTTACATAATTCCAAACTGTGGTCTGCTTCCCTGTTGCTGTGGCAACGTTAAAGAAGCAATTGGTTTATTGATTCTTGCAGATGTTGCTATGGAAGTCAAGCAAAGAACTTAGTTGAGTATGCTAATTTGAACTCTGGCACTTTTACGTCAAGAGATCCAGCCCAGGCCGCTTGAATGAAACTTTCATCTATCTACTGCTTTCTTGTTTATTCATTCATGGATGAGAACATCACTGGCTGTATCAACATTGATTGCCCTCATGGCCCAGTGGCAGTTAAGAGTCATCCGCATTGCTGTGGGTCTGGGGTCACATGTGGGCTGGCTCAAAAGGTCCAAAGATAAAGTGAACGTGGGCCTTACAGGAACAGCATAAACCTATCTATTACTAAGTACAGAGCTGGCCCTTTCCCAAGTCACACTGCGCTTTCAAGTATGGGTCATGTTGGTTGGAGTCAGGAAAGCCATTCTCTGGAGATTTACTCAATCTGATCAAAGCATGTTTCTTTTAAGAAAATGTATTTTCCAATCAACCCATTCAGAGATATTGTTCGCACCTCAGGGAGTATTTGAGACTTGAATCTGGGAGTCTCCTGGCTCAGAGATGAGGACACTACCACTGCACTCAGAAGAGCCCTTGATTGAGGTATGCTGAAAGTGGACTGGCTGCAATGTCGACCCTGACCCGATAAACCAATCACTCTCTAACGCCTCACCCCCAAAAGGGCTGAATTTCCCTCCTCCAGAGTTTGGAGGGCTGGGAGTTTGGGCTATAGCTGCAGCCCATTCTTGGCTCTACCCTCGTCCCCTGAATCAGGACTTTTTAAGCAGTCATTGTGAGTTCTTGGTAGGGTTCCTACAAGCCAATGGGAGCCCACACATTAATCCTGAGGGGAACGTGCGAGTAGTGCTGCAGCGAATCCAAGCAGCCAGCTAGGATGGGAAATCATCTGGTATGTTGCAAAAATTCCATGAAACAAGACAAGTAAGCAGTAGGGTATTACAAGCCTGAGATCAAAAGAGCTTTCCTAGCCGCCTGAATCCTGACAGCCAGGGTAAACTAACAAGCTGTCAAGCCCATAACTACATGCTGTAGGGTTCTGAAGCTGTAATTTTGTTCAAAGCTCCGACAATGACAGCGTAGCTGCAGCGATCAGGATGCTTCTTTTCTCTCATTACACATGCCGAGACATAGGTTCACAGCCATTAGCCCAAATACTCACCAATTACTCAATTCGTGGCATGGAGGATGTGAGGCATGACGTGGACACCTATGTCTCACACGGAAAAAGCATTGCTCTTTTAGAGCTACTGTCCCTTGGACAAGATGTTAAATTCAGGATTCAGAACGCTTGGGTCTATAGCTCAGCTGGATCTTAACGATCCACAGAACAAGGTGAAAAGTGAAAAGGTTCTTGATTGGTAAAGGGATCAAAGGTTACAGGGAGAAGGCAGGAGAAAGGGATTGAGAAACATATCTGCCATGATCAAAAGGCAGACCACACTTGATGGGTGAAACGGCCTAATTCTGCTCCTATATATTATGATCTTACGGCCTAATAAATTGCTCTCAACCAACATCGCACACTAATTATAATAATGCCATTAACACAAGTCAAGTCAAGTACAGCCAAAGATGCAGCTTTCTTGCCAAGATAGAAAACTGGAAGGAGGGACCGAGTATTGAATTGGCACAGTTATCACAGAAATCAAGCTCTGCAGGTACAGGGAGCAGATAATCCATCTGCCATCTGTGCTAACAATTGGTACCTGGAATAAAGATCACACATCAAAAAAACACTTGGGAGCAATCTTTCTTTGGGATAGTGGGGCTGAATCTTACTTGTTTTGGCCAGGTGTGCATTACATCAAGTTTATTGGAGGGCTTCTTTTTGTGAGGCCTGGCACAATTTCTTGCTGTACCTTCCAAATTTGTCTCATCAGTGGTTAGCACTGCTGCCTCACAGTGCCAGGGACCCGGGTTCGATTCTACCCTCAGGCGACTGTCTGCGTGGAGGTTGCACATTCTCCCTGTGTCTGCGTGGGTTTCCTCCCACAGTCCGAAGATGTGCAGGTTAGGTGGATTGGCCATGCTAAGTTGCCTATAGTGCTCAGGGGTGTGTGGATTAGATGTGTTAGCCATGGGAAATGCAGGGTTACAGGGAAAGGGTTGGGGATGGGTCTGGGTGGGATGCTCTTTGGAGGGTGATGTGAACTTGTTGGGCCAAAGGGCCTGTTTCCACACTGTAGTGAATCTGTGAACTATCTACCCTGAGCCTATGATGTCCCATACCACGGCACAGCAACAGTCTCCTCAGCAAGAATCATAGATTTTTAATTCTGCTTTTAGCCCCATTCACCATGCCCCATTGCTGAAATACCTTTGTACCAAACATATACTTGCCAAGGTCGGCATCTCTTCTATATGTGTCATCTTTGAAAGGCCATCAAACAAGCGTCAGCAATTTGGCATTGGCCCTCACCAGCAATGTAGTGCTACCATGTTGAGGTTATACAGGATGTTGTTGAGGCTTCTTCTGGAGTATTGTGTGCAGTTCTGGTTGCCTTGCTATAGGAACAATATTATTAAGTTGGAGAGGGTTCAGAAAAGATTTACAAGGATGTTGCTGAGAATGGAGGGGTTGAGTTATTAAAATAGGCAAGGGACTTTTATCCACTGCAGCACAGGAGGTTGAGGG